TTGTGAGGCTGGATAGATGTTGTTTACTTCTTCACGCAAAAACAAATGAAGGGATTTCAATAAAACTTTATAATGTTAAATATCGCATAAACATCACATAGAGCTTACAACCAGTAACTTTTAGACGAAATCTACGTCACGAGCAAAAGCTGTAAAGAAACGCGCTTTAAGCTTTCGCGCCTACTATCACTCTATGAATTGTGACGTCATACATTTGGTATACACTATTTAGTATTTATTACTTAAATACCTACTTAGGTTTTTAATAGAACACAATTTCAAAGCCTCATCATTTCTGATACAAAGACGGCTAAGGTCTATAAAGTGACCTACTTTGCTGTTTACTTAGTAGAAACGAGCTTTTAAGTAAGTTTCCACCTGGCCAAGTCAATTAGCGATGAAGAACGACAGACGAGAGCTTGGCGGATGTTTGGCAACGCGGCCACGTGCTTGGCAGTCCGACTGGCGTGGATTGGCACGAGTTGGCGTTAAGTAAATTAGGGATTGAAACAAGTGAATTGAAGTTTGAAGGGCCAATAGTAAAGTTACTTATTAGAACCTGCAGAGTTCTACAAACGGACTTTTATCGGCATTTAGTTTAGTCGGGCTGTTATCTATAAATAAGTTTAAGTATGCACATTACACCGATTCGGTATCGGCCGATTCCTCATACAAATTAGAATACTACCAAACTATTGGCCGACAAAAGTCTCTAGATAGAAACAAATGAAAGATTTTACAGTCAAGCAAGAATCTTCGTAAAACGGCGTAGTAAAGACTTTATTTTAAAAATGGAAAATCGAATGATGGAGTATTCATAAATGAAATTGTCAAACGATAGGCCGATTGAACTAAGTGGAAAAAACCGGCCAAGTGCGAGTCGGGCTCGCGCACAAAGGGTTCCGTAGCAGCAAATATAATAAACTTATTATGTCAATTTATACACCTGGTGAATGGAGCCTAAACTCTCCCGATATTTTGCCTTGTACTTTTATGTATGAATATTAATTTTATATATGTATTTATAAATATTCCGAGCTAAAGAGGTGGCAAAAGCAATGGCAAACAAACCACAATCAATAGTATTCGGTTGTCGCTGAACACTTGGAAACTGAATACATGACTCCGATAGATACGGAAACAAGGCTTTTACATATATTTTTTGCGATTTTCCTAGAACACCAACAAGACTATCGTACACACGCAGTATTCCATTAATGTAATAAATACAACTCCAGTGCCCCACTAATCCCACGTCACCGTCATAAATTACTTGAAGGTGCGTCTCATTTTTAGGTACAGGTTCAATCAGTTCAGGGTGTTGAAATAATTCTAGCTCACGCGGTCTAAATGATGTGCACCGAAGTAACTTTTCATGAAATGCGCGAACCACATCATCTTCGATATAGTTATTATAATTCAGAATGTAGGAAAACGTATTATCTAAAGTATCCATTGTTAGATGATATACAATAAGCTTTAGAAATTTTAAAAACCTGCTACGAAACACTAAAATTTGCACCAAAAACAAAGGAATTTATATTATTGGGGGATTTATTAGTACGTGACCGGTTTAATAGCACCTATTAAACCAGTATACCTACTTACTTATTTTTTATAATAGGTACAATTCAATATTAAAAAGTCTCAACGCCAAATTCGACTTGCGAAAGAAGTAAATGGGAACGATGAAATTCTCTTAGCGCGCACAAGTGACAACGACGTCTGCCCTCACGTGTCTGCCCGTTCGGGTCGACGCGGTTAGCTATCTTATCCCCGCTCCCGCGCGAGACCACGCCCCGCAACTCACGCGCTGCAGCGCAGCGAGCGACCGATCTTCTTGAATCGATGTAATAATAATCTATAGGATTAACGCGTTTTAAAAATATTGGTTCGATGGATATGTTTAACCTATTATTACTCAACAATCACATTTGTAATATTAAACTTTATCAAATGCACAATGTATTTAAGGTACATTACTGGATAAGGATTAATGGCGTATTGCTTGAATAAGCTAATATTTCTCGTAAAAAGTACCTACATTATAAAGATTTTATATCATCGCGGATTTTAAAAGGTGTACAATACTGTAGTATATTTTTTGATCTATCTTATAAGGTTCAGCCATCGTTTTCAGTGTAAGCACAATAACTTAACCAAAATTACAGTTAAATCAACCTATCTCAAAAACTATAAGAGATACTTTGATCAAACCAAAAATCGTTGAAAGAGTTAATTAGCATGCATCACCTCTATTTTTTTTAGAATTTTATACCCCGTAGTTATAAAAATAGAGGGGGGGGGACATACTTTTTACGACTTTGAGAGCTGATATCTCAAAAACCGTTCACTTTAAGAAAAATGTTTTTTAGAAAACTTTATATCATTTTAAAAGACCTTTCCATTGATACCCCACACGGGTATGTACATCGAAAAAAAAATTTTCATCCCTCAGTTACATGTATGGGGGGCCCCACCCCCAATTCTTTTTTTTACTATTTAGTGTCATAATTTTGTAGCGGTTCATACAACACATATTCCCATCAAATTTCATCACTGTAGTACTTATAGTTTCCGAGTAAATCGGCTGTGACAGACGGACAGACGGACAGACGGACAGACGGACAGACGGACAGACGGACAGACGGACAGACGGACATGACGAAACTATAAGGGTTCCGTTTTTGCCATTTTGGCTACGGAACCCTAAAAAGGTAAAGTGGTTCGGCCCTTCAGTGTGAGTGGTTTGAGACGCATTAAGTGTACTTGTGCCTTCGAAGATATTAAATGAAAACACACTAAAACCCTTATTCGCAAAGTTTTAAATAATACGAAATATTTTATTTAAAATCGATTAACACGTTGAGTGCGAAACCAGGTCTATAGACCTTGTGTACGTCTCGCTTACCGTGCGGCTAAGAAAATTATAGTCTTCCTTGTCGTGCGAAAGGCATAACTTCAATTGGGTCCGGAGTAGGAAAGTGATGAATATATATCTATGATGTATTCTTAAAATAGAATCCAATGATGTACTTACCTCAATACCAGGTTTTTAGACCTGGTACCGCACGGAAGTAATAAAATGTCTTCACAATGCGAAACCAGGTCGAAGAACCTTGTATCCTGCGCACCTGGTACCGCACCCCACGCTAGCTTCGTGCAGCCAGTGTTGCCTCGCATTCGTAAGAAACGCACATGTCGACATGGCGTCAAGAGAAACAAACATAATCAAAACTGCAAATTGATTATAATTTAATTTGCTACACGATTTATTGCTAATTTAAATAGTTTTTCGTGACAAACATTTGAAATTGTAACTAAATGTTATTAAATAATATGTTTTCTTTAAATATAGCTTATTTAAGTATTTATGCACGTTTGTCTTATTTGTAAAATATTTAGACTAAATTATTAAAACATCTTTGTTTGTTACTTTTTTATTTTTTTATTAAAACTTAATTAAACTATCGATATTTGTATTTCACATCCCTTAGAATACCCACCAGACTTCCCTACTTCAGTGCGGCACAGGGTGCTTAAGCCTTGTATTTTGAATATAGCTATAATTTTTATACTAAACAAGTTATTCACGAACGCCTTCAGGTGTATGTCAATAAATGCATTATTATTAATATTCAAAGGAAAAAAACACAATATCTATTCACATGAAGCCAAAAATAAAATTAATATATCTTAAATGTTACAAGGTCTTTAAACCTTGTGCCGCCACAATGTAAGTTTTAATACCAGGTTTACTGACCTTGTACCGAAGGAATGGAAAGTATTAGAAAGTTACTGCCGCAGCAAAGGTGTTAACAAAACATGTTCATAATTGGCAAGAAATAGAGAAAAACCATTTCTTTACTTTCTCTCCGCTTATATTCAGTATCAAATTAAAATTAACATAATTTGGTATTAAATCGTATTCCCATTAAAACTAATTAATTCCAAATCCAATTATTTTCTAGGGATAAACAAATGTTTATTATTTAAAGGAACTACTCGTAATAGTTTTCTTTCTAGTGCCAATTTATCACGGAGGTTTATGTTAAGAGGCAGAGTGCCAAGTCTCACGAACACAACTTTTTCGTGTTGTCTGCATTCATCAATTACACTCAGCGGCATCTTTCTCCAGTATTAGCAGACATTCTGTAAAGCCTTTGCCACACAGCTGTGTGACATTTTTATACAAATTAACTACCCTAGAACCCTGTAGGCGAAGTTAATTTTGATAGAGCCCCAATACCACATTCTGGTCGCATTGCAGTCACACCTGTATGACAGTACTTAAGAATATTTTTTTACAAAACTAAATATAGATACAGAACACACAATACAAGAAAATAAATAAACAAAAGAGACGGCAAAATTTAAGCGTTATTATCGCTATAAAGCGATCCCTCCCAGACAACCTAGGGACCGCTGTATGTAATACATAAGTTACTTAATAAAGCCCTACAATTGAATCCTATGTAGACAAGCCTTCTGCTGGGAATAAGAAACCCTTCAAGGGTTATCTAAACGGGACTATTCCCACCTCTCGTTCCCACCACTGCAACTCCTGTGTAGCCAGGATCTACAGCTTGACCGCCACAAAAACCCAACCAATGAAGGTCAAGTTTGTCCCGGGGGAAAGTTAAACTGTCATTGGACCCGCAACGAAATTAATCAGAAGAACATAGGAGGAGTTCGAAATTAAGGTTCGACTTCCCTCCATTGCAAAGCGGATGACAGGTGACAAACAAAGGTTTAAAACCTTTAAGAAAAGATTATGCACCACGGTTAAGGGTTATCTACATAACACCTACGTTACAAAATTTATTGCCCTTAGTAGAGGTTGTTCTAAATCAGAGTAATCGTAGGTATACAGAAGATCCTAAAAATTAATCTAACTGTATAAAAATATGTTTAAACGGCCATTCCATCCAATCCTCAGTGCACCACCCTATCAACCACTCCCAAGAGCATATAAGCACGTCATCCTACCCGGCGTGCGCAAACACAAACCACACGCGAAGCTGCGCACGCGTCGCATCGAGTGCGCGTAATCAAGTGATAGTGAAATGAAGTTGACGGTTAGTCGATTCCTTTTTTAGCTCAGTGCAACGAAAGTATCTAAGTTTGGGTTGCGTAATTCAGATATAAGACTTATAAAGATGTTGCGAATTAAGAGCGATTTAGGTGCAGTGATGTGTTAATAATTAAGCATAACAATCGTGATAACAATAACAATGATAGATGATGGTTGTTAAGAAAGTTGACTTCTGCTAATTATTACTTTTTAAAGCAAAAGCTTTTAAAAAATATCAAAGCTTTCATTCAAAATACATTTATCTGATGCGATGTTAAGAGTGGTACAATATTACAGGTACAGTGAGTGCGTTTTCACATTTCCCCGCTGAAAACCATTTCAGGTCAACAAGTTTCATGATATTATAATGTATCATGATGACCTGATTAAAACTGAGAGGGCGCTCTTTCCACGGATAATTATTTTCTTTTGACTTTTTAGCTTTCATTATTAATGTTTAGTTTTTAGTTTGAATGTGTGTGTCAATAAATTAAGTTATTTATTTGTACACTGTTTCTTAGAAGAGACCTACGTGATAGTGTTGGTATAAATATGATTAGTTAACTTGACTTTAATATTTTATTAGGCAAAGTTTGCTAAAATGTCTTTAATCATCAGGTGAGTTTACTGCTGCTAGCAGCAGTGGTGCATGCAGCAGAAAAGGCACCTTCTAAAAGCAAACAGAAGACAGAGGATGCTAAGACAGACAAACGGGAACTAGCTGAAGGAAATGCGGCAGTTGAGAAGAGAGCTCCAGTTTTGCCTACAGGTAACTAATTTACACTTTATAAGGCTGGGTTGCACCATTTTACTTTAACTTTGACAAACGTCAAATATCTGTATTAAATAAAAAACACCGGTTATCGTCATAGTTACGGTCAAAGTTCGGTAGTGCAACTCAGCCTAACATTTGGTAATGACGCTTTATTGAATTATCGAGTATAATGCACGTAAGCTATAACTGATAACAGTGCTAAAAAGTTACAATAACAGTAAATAATTTCAATTTGCATTGTTATTAAGACATTATTTTGTGTATTTTCAGTTCCTAATGCTAAGTTTAATCATGTAAAGTTACATAACTAACAATAATGGTATAATTATTCAGAGCGAATGTTTACGATGTTTATATTGTAGAATCTGATAGATTTAGTGCATATTAAAACAATCGAAACTTTTTTTTTCTTATTTTATAAAACATACAATCCATTGGTTTTAGCTCTACCGCCAGTGACGCCGGGCATCGAATACGCTGACACCAAAGATTCGCAATCCGAAAAGTCTCCATCACAGGTAAGCAATTACTTATTGTTCAGTCAGATAAAAAGCACATGTAGCAAATATATTTGATCACTTTGGAGCTTAGTTATCAATAATTTGTTTTTATTAGAGTGTTGTCTTGTCAAGTATTTTATTTCATCTTTAATTCTTAACACCAAGTAAAGAGTCAATAAATTAATAATTCCCATGGTAAAAAAAATTATTATAAGTAGTATAAAGTGATTATGGATCAACCAAGTTCATTTGTTTTTCTATATTTACTGAACTAAACGAATTAATACGCCAAACGTCGATTAACACATAAACCTTAATTTGTTCTAATTATAAAGAACTTCTAATAAGAAAAATCAAATCGGACTCAGCCAAGTCAATATATTAGTTTATTCATCCATTATTGCTCTCGAGTTCGTCACACTCCTTTGTATAGGTTCAAAGGCATTCTCAAAGCGTAATATGAAATAATTGAATCTATGATGGCATTCAGTCCATGTTTATAATGCTAAGTTGTTCTTGACACATGTTGATAAAAAATTTAATAGATTTTTCCATTCTTCACCCACGTAACTGTCACAGAAAGTCTGTAATTCGCTTCATATGATCAAAGTCACAATAAAAGCATAAATATTAATTTTGTGACAGAAATAGTTACTTTTGCATTTATAAAATCAGTAAACTAAGGATGTAATAAACAATTTGAATTTGAATTGAATTTGACGCCAACATCAACTTTACATAAAAAATTGTTTCATCATAGTTTCATTTAACTCATCAGGTGTGATTGAAGTCAAATACCTTGTTCAAGTGCTTTGTTCTGCATAAAAAAGTGAAAAGTATTGAAGATCATGAAAGTACTTTAATATAAGTTTTTGCGTTTTAAGAATTTGAATTGCTAAAAATCGTGTTTTTAAAAGTCATTATAGTTTTAAACTTACTCATATAAAAAGCTTTTACTGACGTGATTTCTGCAGTCTCTCTTACTGAGAGTTGGTTTAATAAAACTCTTAAAGTTATAAAAATATGCTAATCTGGAGCCATAAATTTGTGCGTTAAAAGATTTAAGCGTTTTTATATGGGTGATAAAGATAGTAGAAAAAAGATAAGTACCTTTAGATATTTTGGTACAGCCTATATTACCTACTTGAAATTGTCAGCCAAATAATTTACTGAAAAAAGGGCTCGGTTCGATCTAGATTACTGTAAATTGGACCTTATTGGAAAATATCTAGTATCGCTCTAATAAAATATCTAGATCCCATATGTTTTCAAACTCTACACAATATTTTAGGGCCAACCCCAAAATTTGTCACCCCAATAACTAATGTAAAAATATTATTAAAATTGGGTTTGACATTTTATTAGACAAAAGTACAGGTTAATAAGTTTAACCAAAGAACAAGAGCTGGCACTGGTCGCAAATCAGTGATACTGATCAGACATAATGAAGCAATACAAAGGCGAATACCCAATAAAACAAGCTGTTTATCGATCGTTAAATGCTAGCACAGTAACCAATACTCTCGCGTACGATAATAATCCATCAGAGTAGAGTTTCACCTTTATCGTGCCACTTGCCCTCACGACTCTACGTCAATCCAAATCTGATCACTCGAAATCACTGGTGGGATAGTAGACCTGTCACGTTCTCGCTGACACGATGATAACAGCAAAGTAGGACCTGTGTTAGTAGTCGTGAATTTCTAGATGTACTGAAATAACGTGTCTGTGTAGTAATAGTGGTAGGGTTGAAATTTTGAAATAGCATTTACTTGGTAAGCTAAAGTGTCTTAAATATTATTATAACAAAAAAGATGCTTACGCAAATAATCTTATTACCTTGAAATTCGCGTAAACTCACACACAATGCTTTTATAATATTTCGGAAAGAAGATGAGAACGTTAATGTGCTTTGTTCTACTATCAACGACGATCTAATGAAGGTCGCGGGAAGCACCTGGACCCATATAGCACAGGACCGGTCGCTATGGAAACCCTTGGTATAGATCTTCAGACTTTGTAGTTATATAAATACTGTTCTCAGTTTGAAGAAATTCTTAGTAAGGCTTTTTAGACAAAACAATAGTAATTAAGGAGCAAAAACAGCGTTTTAATTGCCTGAATTTTATAACTATAAAGTTGTTTTAAAATCGGGTTAATTTCGCGGAGGAAGCTCCAAGTTTTGATGCGCAGTGAATCTGCACGGCGCTGGCTCATTCGGAGTTTCATTACTTCGGAACTTGCTTCTACTAGGAGGTTATTAAATTATTCTTACAAAGTCATCACTTTCAATGAAACAAAACTTACCATCCATTTATATGCTTGGAATTAAAGTTGCCGGGCGATTTACCTTTGAATGAAAAGCATATTTTATGCTTGTAATTATGTGTATTTTGTGACTGATTTTATTAAGTCAATGAATTGCGCTTTCAAAAACTATTAAGTGTTAATGTAAAGATTCAACACAGTATTACGCCTCTACAATAAAGCTATTATATTACTAGTCATTCCCAAAATATTCCTTTATTTGCGTGTCAATCCAGACCCGTAATTTTTCTTCGTTTTCCCTAAACGCACGTTCCAAAGACGGTCGATCTACATTTCCATGACCTCGAAGAATGACATCGGAACAATGCATCAACTGGCATGACGCGGGCACCTCAAAAGGAGACTTATGAGGGAAGTTTCGACCAAAAGAAATTTAATATAAAAGTTGTTGCCGCGCCTCAACTGGGCCGATAAATTTTTGTTGCGCAAAATTTTTACGGCTGCCAGTTTTATGAGCGTCGTCGTTTTTAATTTTCGCCACGGTTTGAATAGTTTCGTTTGGTCTGCAAGACGGAGTTTGATTCGACTTCAAATTAACTTTTTTTCAGTTCCTAAAGTTATCATGTCATGAATATCTTTGGATGACATTTACATGGACATAGGAACTGATTAAAGAAAATGCAGTTTGCAAAAAACAAGATTTACAAAAAAAAACGTTTTTTTTATCAAAACAAAGCTTGTTTTTCACGTCATGTAACAATTTCCAAAACAAAAACCTAATATGCTTTTCCTACTTTATTGCCTACTAGCTGACCCGGCGAACTTTGTTCCGCCTTAATGGCAATAAATAAGCAGACTTTTTTTTAATTTCGAACGGGATAAAAAGTATCCTATGTCCTTCTCCTGGCTCTAAACTACCTCCCGGACAATTTTCAGCTAAATCGGTTCAGCCGTTCTTGAGTTATAAGCGAAGTAACTTAAGGTTAGACCAGACCAACGCGTGCAGCCGGCGTGCACGATGACGATGGCGATGGCGACCAGACAGCGCGTATGAATTTGTAGCGATGTGTTCACATCAACGCGTCCTGTCATTGGTCGCGGCGATCTATGCAGCGTCTGCACGCAGCGATCAGCGATAATCGCGACATTTGACACTGTGACGTTTCTGTTTTTTAAAATTGATTTAATAAATAGTAAGTAGGATCTGTTAAAAAGTTTTTACACAATTAAAAATGAATTATTCATAACATACCACTAGTCTGACCTACTTGAATAATAAAAAAGGTTTTAGAATAAAGTATCAATATCAGAATTTATTTTTATGTAATAAACAAATTATTCTAGTTTTCTCGAGAACCTGCTTCTTCAACTTCATAAGTAAAATTGGGATATTATCTGCAGAACAAAATAATTGAGAATGTACATGTCTGCAGCTTTCTCAAAAGCCCTAGAGCAATTCTAAGTATGCCATAAATAAAAACCTAATTAGAATCATCAAACGTCTCAGTCATTAATTTAGTGCCACTAGAAACACCTAGTTGATCAAAACTGATGTCTTTTTGTATTTTTGGGTTATTATTAAAGACAAAAAAGATATTTGGACTATTATGTACTCTGTGGTTTGGGTGCATAATGTAATTTCCTTTGCCTTAAAAAAAGTAAATGTCAAGATGACTGTTGCACCAAAAATGAAAATGAAAATTGATTTTGATAGATGTTGTGTTGAGTTCTGTGTAGTTTTGTGCGATTTAACGATAAGAACGACAGTGGTAAAAGGTAATGGGGGCAAATTTTTACCCTCAAGGAAAAAGATGAATTGGTTATAATCTTACTTGCCCACAAGGATACTGTACGAGCACGTCAGCATCGACCGCGACCTACAACATGCTAGCCGACTGGCCCATGAACCCTGGACGAACGTGCACCGTAGGCACTCTACACCGACGGCACATTGGACTGGACACATTGAATTGTGTACATTATGTAAATCTTGTATATAGCAATAGCATGACAGTAATAAACCAGATATCAACCGTCCGCGTTGTGTTTCATTTCCCCCACTGAGGCCAAGAAAGCCTTAGTGCAGTCCTCCTTCCTATCAAACCTTTCTTTAAATCTAATTAAAAGGTATTGTTAGGGCTCTAGGGACTACAAACGAAGCCAGAAATATAGCTTGGTTATGAGTAACCAATACCTACTACCTATACCGCATGTAATCCTGTCTCATTCTATAATATATGGCCGCCTGAATAAACTTGAGTGAAAAAGTGTTTCCATTGTCTCAATTGCATCAAAAGCTCCAAACAAATCATTTAATTCAGTTTCCATTTTGCCGAATAGGCGTGATTGACAATATGCGTGACAGTTGTGGTGACAGTGACAACCTGCACGCGCAGTGATCGCCATCGCGGTCGCGGCAGTGTGAAACAACTTTTGCACGCGCAGTGGTCGCCATCGCCATCGCCATCGTTGCACGCGTTGGTTTGTCCGAACCTTAACACGACTTTCTTTTATATATATAGATATCTTTTCAGCTGCAATGAAAGCTTGACTGATTTTGGCAGCATAATAACAATAAAAAGCTAACAAATTCCCGTATTCCCAGCCTGAATATTGTGAAAATAAATACAAATATACACACAACATCAAGTTGCACAGTTTATTCAAACAACATGCATGTTCCGATATTTGGAGGATCCAATATACCGATACATCGTTAATCCACAAGCAAACAGAATACGATACTAGTG